CGTTATAGCTACCACAGCTTTGTTCATTAGTGATCTGAGGAGACCTTGTCCTAGCGTATATTTTTTCACGAATAAAGTTGTACTTTTAACGGAGTAGCGGTCGATGGACAATGACATGATATAAACTAACGACGAAATATTGTGCGTAGGATTTCGGATATCTTTGATTAGGATTGTTAAATAGTAGAGCACAATAAACTCACACAGTCTTAACACCTTAAAGGATCAGGAACTAACTGCGCAAATAGATGCTGGCATTCGCTTACCAGCAGAAGCATAAATGACTAGTTTGCAGCACTTATTTAAAACGAGAGTATAGAGTTAACAGAGTATTACAAAATTTGTCTCGGAACTAAGACTACGTTTACTGCAAAATAACTTTCTCAGGTCACTAGAGTCAGTCTTGTGTGCTGTTATCTGGGGATGAAAAAATACTATGAAAAATACGAAAAGGGCGGACTGACGGCGAACCTCGACATCCTAGCTAGCGCTGAGAAACACATACCCATAATTATTTCTAGCGAACACGAAACAAAACTAATCACTTAAAAGAGGGTGTAAATAACATTGCTGGATCTCACCGGGATACTGATTTACTTTAAAACGATAGCTGAAATGCACGTTCACAAATATCGTGGACTTGAGCTGAGGGAACCTATGTTCTTTGAATGTTTAATAAAAAGTCAAAACAGAGGCCTATGTTTCCAACTTGCTATATTTTACCAATAAAAAAGCAAGAAGAATTGGATTTCTTGCATAAATGGAATATAACGGTGATTTCGAAGAAGCTAGAGAATGAAAACCAAAATGGTAATTGAGCTGGAAGGATAATCAAACGAACAAAGTCTTAAAAGTAGCAAACCAGGATAATTTTTGGATGCACGTTTACGAATCGCACAACATTTTTATTACAGTTGCTGGGCAAACATTGCGCCTTAAGCTGGTACATTCGTTATTTTTTGTATGTCACACCAACTGGGGACGTGATTTCAAAATAGTAGCCTAATTAACAGGTGATCTCTGAAGTGTTCAAAGACACTCCAGAATGAAAAAAGTCGTACAACGTACATTTGCGACAGCTTTTGTTTCCACTGAGGCCGCATTAGTTTTTATTCATGCTCTGTATGCATTTTTGCCAAGTCATTGGATTACATCTGGTAAACAGACTAGGGAAACATTCTGGCCCTGAAGAAAAGGGCTCATCAACCAACTATTAATTCTTCATAACTCAAAAGCAGAACTTGAACATGAAAGCCTGTGGTTGTTAGTCAGCGCTTTTAATCCTATTCGGGCTTTTCTGAACACTTTTCATGGGTAACGCATTATTTTGTCTAGAATAAAAACTAAGATGTACTGAATAGCAATAGTGATGTCTTTTATTGGTTGCTTTTTGAGTCCCTCGTTGAGAGTTATACGCGCGTTCGTTGCAATAATCTCCCAAATTAAGAGTTCTCAGCACTTGTTTTTACGAAAGCAATGACAGCTTTTCAGTTTTTATCTTGAAAGTATCACGTACAACAGCACTGTTATGAATCTTTTGATATGTCTAACCACCACCAAGAAGAACAGCTCTCTGTTATTGTTGTTGGTAGCTGAAAGGTCTAAGTGCCCATTGTTTCATGTTTTGTAGTTTTAAAATCCTTCATGCGATTGCCTTTTTGCTGGCTGTTGCTTTTTAATTACTTAAGGTTGATTACTGTCAACTGGGTGAACCAAAACTGCCTCAGTGTTTTGATTGCAACGCAGATGCTTAAATTTGTTATTCTTTTCCTGAACACTGGCTTTACGGAAAAGAATTAGAAACTCGAAGACTTTGACTTCTATCCTATTGAAGCAATGGCCTTGCTCGAGGGAAACTGCAGATAAGATGCATTTCTAACTCCATCTTTAGAGCACATTCACAGACTATTTGGAGAGACATTATAGGCATTTTTAAGAACACTGATTTGGGATCCAGCATGAGTCTGCCGAATATTTTCATCGACCTCATCCACTCAGAAACCGGGGTGGAGACTCATAAAGCAGTCGAACACCGAATGGAAAAAATCATTTATTGACAGTAAAATATTATCATCGCCAGTTTTAATTTGCTTTCTCCATCCTGGATAATATAAACGTTTACACTTGCAATGTTTTGTTTAAAGTACCTATTGTCAGTCCCTAGTATTTTACGAATATTCAGTAAAAAGTTTTGCTGCTTGCTAAGGTAGTGAGAACCTTAATAGGGACGTTTTATTGGCCGAACTGATAGCTGTCTTTCACCTGCCTAAAGCTCCGCAATAAGTCATGCTCAGTTCTCACAATTAGCGTCCGTGAACTTTTCTAGCATCTACTACTGGAACGTTCACCCTACCATTTAAACTAATTAGACGACAGCAAGGGACTTACTGATGTCAGTGATGGATGGATAAATTACATGTCTAGGTGGATGCCAAAGCGGTAATGAGTTCACTGGAAAGGTATTTTCTCATAAGACAGTTCAAATAAGTTCCTCATTTGAGTATCTTGAAGCAATTTGTAAAGAAAATCAGGAAAAAACGGCTAATTCCGTACCTATAAGTTTATATCTGATAACCACCGTTGAGCGATCGCTAGGATTAATGAACCACCATGGAGCTTGTTCAATACTCAATACAGGCTGGAAGTCTGGGCTAATATATGCAGCCTCAACTATAGCCTTTTTTAAGTATGAACTCAACTGCTATGGATCACAACTGTGTTCACTTAAACAAGGCCTTTGTGTTCCCACTCACCGCTCCGGATGGTAGAGAGAAAACTGGATTTAAATTTTGCTGAAAACCATGATTTTCCGGCTACTCTTTTAGTCTGTGAGTGGCTATTCATGCAACTTTAATTACAAACACAATCGGGGTAAGTTAAACAAACTCGTTATATTTTATCCCAGCCCCCGGTCTGAAACAAGAAATGACTGTAAAGCACCTTAAAACGATAAAGGAAACTACTCACAGAGTTGCTGAAAATCCTTCGACAACGCACTACCGGTTTCGTCCTTCTTGGGACTCATTAGGTAGGCGCAGTACCCGCGTTTCCGTCCATTTCATGCTCTACTTGCACCTAAATTGGACTGTTTTCGAGAGATACACTCATTTGCGGATCAATTTGGTTTTCAATAGAGACTCAACTGAATCTCTCGCTTGTGATATTCTACAAGTGAATTTTATGAAAATATACTGCGATATCTCGACTATCTGCTAACTGAAGCATGAGGTGGTCTGTGTGTAGCATTTTTGATTGTAGAATATCATAAACGAGAGATTCAGTTGAGTCTTTCGTGAAAACCAAATTGATTTGCAAATGAGTGTATTTCTTGAAAACCTTAAAGCGAAGTTTTACTACAGTCTTGACTAGACTGCTTTATTTTTTGCACAATTTTAGGCAACCTTATGGTTGAATTTTAGTTTTTTGTTTGAATAAAACCCATGAAAGGGGTGCTTACTGGCTCCTTTTTCACAGTCAAACAGAGTTGATTGCGGGACTGTCTTGTACGCGTTCTGAATCTGAGATTATGGTTCACGGATAGACAGGACGTTTGATTAGATCATTTAATTAACTAGGTAAATGGATCCAAGATCATGGTTAAACAGGTTGACTGCTGAACTAGTAGAAGATGTACATTCCCAAATCAAACTACATCTAGCTGGAAAACATTGGTCGCTTTATCGCTTAAAACATGGTGATGAGTGTAGCAAATGAGCTCCAATGCATGAGCTAGGAATACAAAATTAAGAACTGCTCTGTCAACTTCCGCTTTAATTTTCTAGACCCAGGTATATTATACCAGGGTTTGGCGCTTTGGGTGCTATCACCTATGAGTATTTTGTGCATTTAGATTAGAGTAAACGCGAGCTGTATACCAAAAATTAACACAGACTCATTGGAACCCTCCTACACTAGTCTTCGCTTGCTGTCTTTAGCTTTTCTAATCACAAAGATATCGTCACTGGGTACTAAAGTGTTTTCGGATATTCCTTTCCAACAGATATTCTATATGTATTGGAACAGGGAAGGGTCTTTGGTTTTCAGTATGAGGTCCTGGCTATGTTAATGTTTTTGAAACCGTCTAAAGCCAAAACGACCAAGTGCATTCACTAATTATTTGTACTTACAAAGTGGGCTTGACTTCAATTCTTTTTTATCTTCTATTCCTACAACTTAAAAAATCGAACAATCGTCACTGTGAATCAAAATGGCACTCCATGAGCTTATGGAAGGACATGACAATATCTTGGTCTACATTTGTTCATAATGGTGTTTCTCATATAGCGTATCAATAAAGTCCCCAGGATGGCTGTTGAGGGATTCATAAGTTCCTGGATGGTAACTTAGAGATCACTGGGGTATCTCAGACGGCCTATCTCGTTTAACAGCTTGGATTATTATTGACTCATCTTCAGGGACTTGTCAAAACACTAAGATCCTAAGATATTGGAAGAAAACTCAAAGCACTTTGTAAAGAATTCCGAGACTTTCTGAAATGAAGAATGCCTTACTTTTTGTAGTTACTTGCTTTACTTAACACTTTTTTCATCAAAGAAACATTGAAGCTGTTGGTGATATTCGAATTCCCAATGGGATCTCAATACGGGGACTAAGGAAAAGGTTCTTGACAAAAGCTTCAAAGTGACTGCTAACGTGGGCGTGACCCTATGACACTTACTGGCCCTTGTTTTGCTAGAGATGCCGCAGGAATTAGCGGCAAACCAGAGTTTCTAATGTGCACGCCATCACTTCCTGTCCAAACTATCTGTCAGGCTGTTAGAAATGTAGGCCCTCAGGTTATTACCATTTTTTTCCTCCACCCCCTCGATCTGGTTATGTTTCTCATTAAAACTCCGTTGCCCCGATTTTTGCCACTCGCGCCTCCATTGGGGCAGGACGATAGCTGTCAACAAATTAGTTCCGCATCCGAAGGATTGTTTTTTTTAAGTTTTAATCCCGGCGATTAATATACTCACATGCTTTCATTTATATGATTCTAGAACCATGAACTTCATGATGCCATACTGCTAACCAGACAACGTGCCGTTAAGACTTTGTGCGACTACCTTCATGATCATGAACATATTGCCGAGGCTATAAATGAAGGTAACCTCTCCCTTCAACCACATAATATTTAGTCACGCAGGTGTTGTCACTTCTCTGAACATACTACTTGAAGATCCAGATGTCCCGTGCCGAGCTTACGCCACTGAGTGCTTTGTGGTGCTTTGTCGTAAGTTGCTGTTGTTCGTCAATCTTGAGCCCCATTTCTCAGAACATGAACTTGGTAGGGTGGCCTTCTTGGACCAAAACATACTCCAGTCATTTTTAAATCTGATCAAGCTAAGTGAGGTCGATATAGTGCGGCTAAATGCACAAAAAGCCATTGAACTACTAACTACGTCACCGGATGGTGCTTTAGCTGTGGTGGAGAATGGATACGTACCCTTACTGATCAACTGCGCCAGAGATGAAGTAGACGAAATCAAGGTTGGATTTCTCGATTGCCAATATTCTAATCAGATTGTTTCAGATTGTAGTCTTGGATACACTAAATCACTGTCTTAGTTTTGGTACCACAAAAGGATTAGAGTCAGGTGGCATGCCTCTTTTTACCCAACTGTTATCCCATGAGAGTCCAGAGGTCAGGGCTCGCGCAGCGCAAAATATCCTCCGCCTGAGGTAAGCTTTCATCGAAAGAAATCAATTCATCTCATAGTGTGAACCCCATTGGTAAACAAGAAGCACTGGATAATGAAACGATCCCAGCCCTGGTTGAACTGTTGAAAGACAATTCTGAAACCGTAAGAGCTTCGGCGGCAGGAGCACTGGCTTTGTGAGTTCTCCTTGTTTTGAGCCGTTTCAAACATGTTTTGGGAGGTTTAATTCAGTTACTTTTCTCGTAACTCAGCAAAAGACCGTTTGATGGAATTCTGGTCGACTACACAGTAGTGGCGACATTCTGGGCAAGCCTAATGATAGAAGTTTCCTTGATGCAAGTGAATTTTCCTTAGAACGATTTTTTGGCTTCGTTGAAGATAAAACAATCATGGTTGGCTGCCTTCGTTTTCATTGCTATGGACACTGCTGTCAGTGATACTATTATTAGCAGTCATCCAAAATAACATCTGTGTTATTGTTCTGCTTATCATCACTAAAATCAAAGGTAATTTTGTCATAGAAGTCGATTAACGTACAAACGACCGAAGATTAAAACGGTTTATTTCAGAGCTGTGATACTGGAGTTACGTTTTAAAAGTCTTCCTGCGCATATATTGAGAAGTAAGTGGATCCTTAAAATGCAAAGCGGCCTCTTCGGAATTAACATTAAAAACAAGATGCAATCATAGGTGGCCTTACTTTTGGCCTTACATTTGAATTTTAGGGTCGTACTGAGTTTATTACTGAAAACTATAAAAAGTAATAAAATCTGTACAGAAAACTTGTTTAGCGCCATCACTGAGCAAGATGGTTTATCGGTTTGCAATTATAAGAATTTCAATTAAAAATTTCCGCCCGAATTAAAAAAACATGTGTAGTTTTAACTAATGTCATCTACTGTTTCGTACCTAATGAGCTGCTAAAGTGCTTGTGGCGAGTCTTTTTGAGACGTATAGCCCTTTGAAATGTACCCTATATTCGCATGACCTAGTTCACGTCCCCAAATGTTAGTGTGTTCTCGATCTCTTATACAGTGGAACCATTAAGGTCGAAGTAAATTCTGATAGCAGTCATTGGTCATCTTCATCCTAACAGGGGAATAGAATATATGGTCGCATATTAGCTGCACCGACCGAGTAATTCACTGTGATTTCAAATGTGGCTGTTTATGGTTTAGAAATGAACACATCCGCCGGAAGTGGACCTAGAGGAGAACCACTCGCAAAGTAACTTTTATTAAAATAATTTCCATCAGACACGCTGAGGTATATAACTTCAATAAAGGTCTGAGTAAGTCAAACCCCAAAAAATAATTTTGCGGAGGAAACAAGATCCTATAGTCTCTTTTTCTACTTCCGGGAATCCATAAGTATGGCTTCAGATTTGTCTGGTTAGAGTAACTTACCTCAGTCAAGTTCGATTGTTCATCCAAAGAACTCATCAAATTACGAGACCAAATCTTTCCAGAAGCCTATTCTGTCTTGTTTATTCATTCGGTGTGGAAGTGGAACACTTTTTGTCGTCTGGAGGTCGAACTCCGCTAGAGCTGGACGACGTTTGCTCTTGAAAGATACGATACATAATGCGAAGAATTTTAAATTTTTATCCTGAATGGTAAAGTTGATGTGTGCTGAAATTTGCTTGAAACGTGCTTGCAATCCCTGGGAAAGTACTTCAATGAGCATTTCGATTCATCAGGTTGATACACTAAGATTGTTTTTTGACTTTACTGTTCAGATCTCATACTGTTCACTCAGATACCACGTGGTCGCAGATTTTATTCATGCACACAGCAAATTGGTTCATTTTGGTTGGGTCACTCATTGACATCTTTGCAATCCTACATACCATTTGTAAGTTGTCAGGCAACGCATCCAAATAACTCGTTTTGAAGTTATTGGGATGAACACTGCTGTTGCTCTCAATACGCATGAAAAGAGTTGGGTTGATACATAAGATTGTTTTTTGACTTTACTGTTCAGATCTCATACTGTTCACTCAGATACCACGTGGTCGCAGATTTTATTCATGCACACAGCAAATTGGTTCATTTTGGTTGGGTCACTCATTGACATCTTTGCAATCCTACATACCATTTGTAAGTTGTCAGGCAACGCATCCAAATAACTCGTTTTGAAGTTATTGGGATGAACACTGCTGTTGCTCTCAATACGCATGAAAAGAGTTGCACAATGCTGCTTTTTTCAACGCTTCCATCGATCAGTCCTTCAAAATGAAGCCTCAGAACGCAAAGGAGCATCTTGGAAGTGATGTTCCTTCTCTACAATGTCGTCGTGAAACACTATTCAAACGACGACAAATCACAGAAAATGTTAAGTTTAAAAACATAAGAAACATAGAAGGCTGGACTACATCATGTGGCTCTTGAGCACCGCAATATCTGATATAGTTGACATACCAAGCTGACGGCTTCCTTGGGCCAACTGGACTATGACAGACCCCAATTTAACATTTCGTGGAATTCACCGTAGTTCTAGACTCAGTTGTGTTTTATGAGCCGTCTATTCCCGCAAATTTTTGCCATTTCGGAACATCGGAAGGTCGTGCCCGGCTTGGGCAAAGATCTTGTCATAATTGTCATACTTTCGAATTCACGTACGCAAAATCTAGTAAAGCGTCTGGTCATTGAGATTCGTTTATTTTTGATTGGTTGATAACATCCCTGACCGCTTTGTCGATCTGTAGTCATTCGTGGAGTGCAAACGCATGGTATGAATTTAATAGGTTTGATATCCACTCGATTCTTTGCATAGACCAACTCACAGTTGCGGTGAACTGACTCGACATAGCTTTGCACCTGCACATGTAATCAGACTGTTTTCACTCCATACAGAAGGTTTCCGGCTTTTATAGATAACCATTCGGTTTTGTGAATAGTTTCCACTGTTATCATTTTGTGATCAAATCCAGCATATGCACAACTAATCATGGACGCTATACGACATTGAATGCCGGAGCGATCCCACACTTACTCCAACTGGTGGACGATGAAATCAGCCGAGTTCGCGTAAATGCACTGAAGGTGAGTTCAAATGTACTAACTTAAATGTAGTTTTGTCAATAACGAAGAGTATGACACTTCTCCACTGTGTCCGTAGCCAATCAACTAGACGGCCTAAGCAAACATTGAACTAAATCGTGGTCCTAACTTATCTGTACCACTTGTAACTTGCTATTTTCCACGCTCCATATCATCTCCTTTCTCCCTGTTAATATCGGTCACGTTATTGTGCAACATCTCTTTCAATGAAGTGCATAACATGCCGGTACTTCTTGGGTTGAACGTGAATTTGCGCCGTCTGCTGCGTGACTGTTGTTGTGACTGGCAGTTGCGATTAACGGTCTTAATGAGTCTCTAATGAGCAGAACGAACTATTAATGTGAGTCAGATACAATGTGACAAGGAGAACAATCCAAGGAAATCTTGACTTACTTTTCACAAGAGGAAATTCTGAAGGTCCGCACTCTGTTCAGACACCGCATCAAGAAGAGAAGGTTCTGCTTTCATGGTATTCCAAACCTTCGGTAACCTCAATGTTAATCCGCTGACGTGAATAGATAGATCCAGCGTTTACAGTTAAGATTTTTATCTACGTTGAAAATTAGTGATAGCCAATATTGTTCAATTGCCAGCCACAACAGCAGTCACTCAGAAGAAGCCGCCAATTCACGTTGAGCCCAAGAAGCGGGGGCTGATTGTTTTATTTCCTTAAAACAAACTTTGTACAAAACCGTGACAGATATTGACAGGGAGAAATGAGATAATACTAGGCAGGAGCGGTTTACAAGAGCTACCCCCGCTTGTGAGACTTGTTCAGAGACACTGTCGGACGGATCGCACAGAGGCGACTATCAACTGGTATCCATTCAAACAAAAATCCTTCCGCTTACCTGATGAGCCCCAAGAAGGGTGAAACCGGTCGTGGACTGTTGATGAATTTTCAGCAACTTTATGAGTTGTGCGTTACAAATATACATCGCGATATCTGGAATATCGTAGTAACTGAAACATGAGGCAGTATGGTGCGACACATTCAGTTGCCTGGAAGCGTCACAAACTAGAGATTCAGCTGGGTTCCAGGTGAGTCTCTCACCAAACTAGTTTGCAAATGGGTGTATTTCGCTGACTTCTGCCCGTTGGTTTAGACAATGCCAACCGCTGCACATCCTGCGGCAGCAGCATCTGGATCGCCAAAGCTGTGTAGCCAGAAGCGCGGTTGTTAGATAGAGTACTGTGTTTGCATCTTGAATTCTTGCTTCTGATATAACCACACTTAATGACTACAAACGAAACAACTAGTGTTTCCGAAAACTGCGTTTGGTGTAAGTTATACGATTGCCTACTTAACTGTACGTTAATGAAGCTCGCACTGGGAACCTCACGAGAATGGAATATCTAATGGTTTTACGACATTGAATTTTGCCCTCATACGGCAACTAGACTACATGTATGACCTGAGTGCGACCTCGTGATTTCACATTTCTGGCTAAGTGTTCATTTTAGCGTCTTTGTAAGGGAGAAAAGTTCAGATACCACAACATGGCACATAGTCCTAGTATATGGGAGACGCATAGGTTACCTAACCTTGGTAATGTGTTCATGGGTTCTCTAAACCGCCACTGATATTGGGCAAACCGCGCATTCGCATATGACACTGGTGTTTATATGCTTTTGATGATAGGTTTCTGGGTCGAATTTTTCGTGTTATTTCTATCCAATCCTACACCAGTGCTGAAAAATAAGGAATAATCGAACAGAGAAAGGAGCTGACGTCAAAAGAACCTCAAGACATCAAATATTGAGTGAGTTTGATTAAGTGGCAACGCAGACTCATACTGACCCCGATAGAAAGACCTAACTAGGACTGGTTTTGAAAGTTGCTCATCCTTTACATCATAGTAACATCCGGAGCTATCAGAAAGGTGTTAAATACGGGTTACGTTAGAACACTATTCTAGTACTGTCGCATTTAAGAACTCGTCATCCCTTTGAGAGATTCAAGGGCCGAGTTTAAAAAGTAAAGTGAAACCACTGCCCGATGGGTCAAACAACCAGAGAATAACGCAGCAGTAATAATGAGCGCACAAGTGGAGGCAGCAATCCACCGTGAAATTTAGCTGAATATCAAACAATAGTTAGAGGATTGTGCCGAAACACGAAGAACAAACAGAAATGCTCACACCAACGAGACACGTGATTGCAGTGGTGGAAATGGTCACTTTCTACATAGGAGCATAACAGAACATGGTCGAATAGAATTAGAATAAAATAGAATAGAGGAAAACTATACCGCGTGTTAACAGCGGCTTTATGTTGGTTGGGCAGATGTTTTAAGTTGAGTTCTAATCGCGAGTTATCTGGGTGTAAAGGATAAGCATGAATCGTCCCAGCACTCACTAAACTAAACCGATCGGGGAAATTTGTAATAGCCATCCAGACTGAAGTCTTCAAGACTTAAGAGGAAAGGCGTCTAACTAGATTTCACCTGACTGTAAGTTCTCCTCATGTACAAATCTACTGCTGCCAGCAATAAGCAACACTGGTTTGGTCTGCTTGTTGACGGAGATCTCGTTAACTAGCTTCCCACCTACTTTGAAACTCTGCCAAGTTGGCGTCTTACTAAACTCGGCTGGCGAAACTTCTGTGAGAAAAACGGAACCTTGTCCAGCAGCGGATTGAATTCTAGGAGGCTGGTCGTTAGGACGTTCGGAATGCTTGTCCTATCTTCCGAAATGTAATATTTTGTTTCAAAAACTACACCCACTCGTATATCATTTTTTTCTTTATTACTGGAGACTCAATCGAATCGCTTGTTTTTTTATATCCTCTAACTGAATGTTTTGCACAAAGGCCGCCTCATGTTTCAGTTGGTACGATTTTCGAGATATCGGACTGTATGTTCACAGAGGAAACTACCCACAAATTCTAAGAGCTTCCAGCAATCTTTTGAGCAATATTCTATTGTATGATGGACTAAACAAAATACTTCAAAAAGACCAATCGTGTTTAATCACTTGGAGTTTCCGCCACAAGTTGCAACCACTCCATCAAGCAGTGAAGCACAAGATCCGTACTTATCAGCTGTTGTAAACGCACATGGGAATATGTCTTACACTGGCATGGCCTCTTCCGTGTTCTCTCCAACATGATGGTGATCCTTGAAGACAGTGCTCGCGTTTCACCACCCGATTCTTGCCACCACAATGAGTGTGTGGGGGTTTGGGGGAGAATCCTTCAGGATAACGAGGAATAGGCGGGTGACAAGAATGTATGGAATTAGTGACCTTTTGTGACTACTGAAGTTTTAAAGTAGTTCGAGAACAGAATACAATGGAATGGAGAAATGTACCGACAGCAAACTGTATGAATACCAGCGTGTAAGCAGCACACAGCTCTGTTTTTCCCTATTACCACGGAATCACTCAGCCTGGTGAACTTGCCCCCTAACGTTTGCCAGGCTGTTCGTGTCCTGGTTATCTTTGGTCCAAAATCCAGAATTCTATGAAAAGCATGAAGAAACGTCGGCTGAACTCCCCAAAATGTCTGTTTTAATGGGCTGTTTAATCTTGGGAGGGATGCTTGATACTACGGCCGCAGCCGACTAACGGAAATCCAACTGCACTTTACGCGCGTCAACACCCTTTTACCATTAGGATGCTTCCAAATCACTTTGATCCGCAAGTAGGATTTTGGTCTCCAACTTCTCTAAGTGAGCATTAGTGAGGTGGCTCCGACCGCCTTGTTTGGTTGTACTCGAGTATGAATCACATTCTAAGTTAATTCTACAGAAGTCAGGCGTTCTAACAGAACAACAAAAACCACTGTGGCCACAGGCAGTACGCCAACATGCCTTGTTTCATCTTTTTATGAAAAATGTGTGTCAAGTCCCTGAGAGATGCTTACATTAAATAGCACTCACTCCATGCAGAAGCGATAGAGTTCCTCATGAAACAGACCTTCCCTCCAGAGGTAATTGCATCCCCATTTCCTTTTAAATTTCCCCGAAAAGTCACCTCTCGTAACACTTTGAACAAACTGATTGACACCAAAGTTACCTAAGCGCAGTCAAAGCGGCGAAGGTGTGCTCAATGCGGACTGCTGAATTGGACCTGTTTATTCTGTGGAAGTGACGCTGGAAGTCGGCCTTCAAGACTACCGTTTACCAGTAAGTGTGACCTTAGGTGCGCCTTATGCGCGTGAGCCAGTTGTTGATATCCTTGTCCTGGCTTATTGACAGTAAACTTCCTTGTTGAGTCAAGTGAGTTGATGGTATAGCGCACAGAGTGTATACCAAACCCAATCACATTCTCACGAAAAGTCGCACGCAAAATGAACAACACAGTTCAGTTGATAGGAGTACACTTCAAAGCCCGGAGAGGGTTGGGACACATTAACGGTCATTTTTCAGCGTGACACACAAACCTGCTAGTGTAGCGGGTGTATCGGCTAATTTTAGAGTCATGCCTCCATAGAGCGGCGATCCCTGATACGCACTGGAACCGGTACTCAGTAGATCAAATGACAACCACATTTATCTGAAAGAGTATGCACAGCGTAAGCGTAGTTCACCCACCACAGTCGACCTGAATATTGGAAAGCATGTGGTGCGGCTCAGGTTCGTGCACTCAGCTACCCACAACCGCGCACCCCATCTCAGTCCAGGATTTCTATGAGGGAAAGTAGGTCCACGTGTCGTTTATCTCAGAGTTGGGAGAGAAGGTAGGCTACTAGTTCATTGATGACGTCTCCATTTTGTTTCACAGCAGTTTATAGGGTCAAACTTACTTGCTTTAGTTTTGCTTATCCCAGGTAATCACGTGCTTGTCAGAAACTCCCGAGGGGCGTCGAATACTATTGGATAACCTGAATACGGTAAGTCTTTATGTTAGGGGTTTCAGTCGTTTACTGGTACTCTGGTAAATGTGTCTGTTTCATTCTTGCAAATCTGTTGTCGGTAAACACGACGGTATGTTTATCCTGTAGCATATGTTTGCACAAGGTTACATTTGTTTTTTTTTTGGCACAAAAAGTTGTGTTCATTGTGACAATGCATCCAATACTGTGAGAAAAAGTCACACACGCACCAATGACTCACAAGAACCATTCACTCGTCCAACACCAATCTTCGGATCGCAGTTTTCTAACAATTGGTTGCCCACTTACTATAGTTTATTTCTGAAGAGCATGGTCACAGCCATAAAAACTGAATGCAAGGAATAGATGTGGAAGTGTTACAGAAGAATATTAGATAAAAAGAGAGAAGTCATGCCACCAACAGTTCTAGATCTCAACGTATATAAGAATGTTTGGTATGGAAATACGAGTGTAAAGACCAACAACTGAGGAAAGGATAAACAATGTTGAATGCTCTTCAAAGCGGGGTAAGCGCTAGCACAGTCAAGACTCGCACCTCAGGCACAAAGTGTCCGTCATACTGGGTCTGGTGTGAGATTAAATGGCAAAAATGTACACTCAGCGCCATGTGCCACGCTTAAGTGTCGTAAGTACGCAGAGAGCCCACAATGGCAAGCAAACACAAGTCACTGATTGTCACCTTAGGAAGTCCCAGTCCAAAAACAGCCTTGGTGGATTGAGGAAAGCAGATATCTCGATAAGAGATGATGATAATGGTTGGTGAACAAAAAAGTCGACATCACAACCGATTGCACGTAGGGCTGAGATCATGACGATGGAATATTCATCAGCACCATACTTCTGCTTCTTCTCATTCCACGCAGTCACTCCGCACCCATCCGAGACTATGCTGATGTCTATCACATTTGCTCACCTCGAACACCTACCATCCTCCGAAATATGCTCATTCAAACTGCATCTGATCCACCCTCAAAATCGTAAACTAAAAGGTTGAGCCGGGACACTAGACCATCCATCTATCCTGTAAAGTGTACGTAGCCGTTCAGCCACTGGTAGATTGCAAATTTAATGAGGATGTTTAACTGTGCGTAAGCATTATTAGCCCTCCCCCTCAAAGAAAAAAACAATACGTATGCAGTCTGTCACTGTGGCTCTACTGTCAAAAAATGTGCTAGACATTTGAACCCATCCTCGAACAGATGGTTTGGATATGTTTTCCTTCGAGGTCAATGGAAAACATATTTCTCCACCAAAATGCATAGCAGTGGATCAGTTAGTACATGCATATATCAAACTCGGTCTTCTTAGAGATCACACAGGAAGCTACTGGAATGTCCACTTGGACAGGTTAGCAGTCAGTTTGTGGCACAAATCGGTAAGGTATCAGAAGCAATAGAAGACTGATGTGACTGGCCAATGCTGCATGGAAAATGGAATAGTTGGGAAGTAGCTGAATGGACGTCATACCAGGGGTAGTGAAGGATAAACTAGGAATTAAAATCTCAGAGGGCAGAGTTCTGGATGGTAGATATTTAATTAGACTACACAAGTTTCATTTCCGTAGTCATTCTAGCCAGCGATTTCTTGTGTCTGGGCTCAATTCGTGCCATGGATCGTACGATTGGTAAATACATTTTTCATGTTTTGTAGTATGGGTGGCTGTGTTTTTACTTGAAGTCATTTTCGATTGAACTGAACGGTACAGTTAGTTGGTAGGATAGAACAACATGGTTTAGAAGGGTTAACACAGACAGAGAGCATGAATACAATCCGACCAAAAGCTCGGTACGAAGATTCAGATCAATACCATGTGCGTATCAGTGGATCACAGCTCAGTTGTATTTCTCAGCGAATAGCCCATTCAGATTGACCAAAATATGAGCATTTCTACAGGCTTATCAAGCCAGAACTCAGGAAACACACTGAAGCGGGTTGATCGCCTGCACCAATGAATCCACATCACTGTACGTTATCTTGTCTTGCCTTCTAGCTTAAGTTTCTCGATCGAAGCAACAAATCACCTCAATGTGGTTCACGGAACAATGCAGCTACCGGTCTCATTATTATGACGGTTGCAATCCTGTGCCCTCTAAGTATAATGTAAACTGGACTGGGGTGTGTAGAACCCCTTCGTGGCTTTATTGTTGAGTTGAATGATTGAACCGATGTTCCAGAACATTACTCTTCCACGGCCTCTAGCTCAGAAGCTATTCTTCGTGATCACCGGAACCCTCGTTGTTCTCAGTTCACGATCAATGGCAGATATTTAGCTGGTGCAACCGATACCCACTGAATCACCTCAGCATCAGGGTTCTTCAGGGATTCTAGATAAGATTCATCTACTCTAGGGGGATCTTTCCTACGAAGACGATAATTTTACTGTATAACTATAAAGATAAAAGCAGTGACAATCCTAGTAGTGCATGTAACTGGATTTTGTCTCACACTGTCGCGTAGTATCACTGCCTCACCTCGAATGGAAAAGTGCAGATGAGTGGTATGGCGAAAATAACGTACTAACGGGGCTTGGCGCACTCTCCACAGAACAACCAGGGATAGAAGTAGGTCGAAGAACAGAGTCGAGATAGCCCTGGTGTCAAAGCCTAGATGGGAGAACAATTAGTGCTCTCATCCAAAGCCTTCTGCTCAAAAGGCTGACTGAAAGGCGGCCGTGTTTGGGGGCGGATTCAGATGCATTGCTATTCTTGCGGAACAAATCACCATACATGTTCTAAACTCAACCTGGAGGGACAGTTTACTGTGTTTGTCGGAGCTTTAACCATTCTCAGTGGTGCAGTGGTTCTGGCTGCCCCTGGCTCTTCGAGTGTCGCACACACACCTAGTATAGCTCAGTGGGTCGCTGAGGTACACAAGCCGTCACACCACAGTAAGGTCCAGTCTCTTCGTGACCGCAAAGCTCGAACGAAAGTATCAAAACAATACGAGTGTTTCTAGTTCGTCTAAAAATTTATGGGAGACAAGTTTTACTCAGGAATTTTACGTAGATCTTCTAAGGAATGATTTTAGTTGTCGGTGGGGAAGTTCACTTCCTTTAGTGTAGAAGAACGTAAACTACCGCGTATCATACCCAGGGATCCGTAAGAGTTATGACCGACATCACTTTTCCAAACAAATTAACAGTTCCTTCATTCAGCGTTATGTGCAGCTGTATGAATCTACCTTCCAGCCAATGCATTCCATGTCTCACTTTCTGTCTGTTTTTTTTTTGTTTTGAAAAGCCAAATCTTGGCTTTAATTCTTAGTCAACTTCCATTAGTTTTGCTACGTCGGGTAGGGAGAAGAACAAATATTATGTTGTCCTGACAACGGGCAAGTTAGTCGGTCAGTGAATAGTTGCGTGTGATTCAAGTGTGCTCAGTACAGAAAAACTGTCACTCAAATTCACGACGGTATAAAAGCATACACAGCCTCAGGATCAAAAGCACTAACAAGCCAGGCAAACTGGAACACTTCAGTGGATCGAAGCTGCTTGACCATTCTGGTCTGTAAGTGGACAAGAATCAGCCGCGCATTGTGGAGTCACGTGATATCTAATCTTTCAACCGAAGCTCATCCCCCGTTTTGTTGTTTCTTTGGCTTGCAATACTGCAGCTTAATTCGAATCTTTATCTTCAAATTTATTACATTGGATTTAGAAAACCTACCTACACTAAACAGAGCCTAAAAAGAGACTATTAATCAGACCGTCAGGATCAGACGATTCGAAGCCAATGAGTTCGAATCGGAAACAAAATGGCGGCAAAAAGTAAGACCCAACAGGAGGCGCAAATTTAATACAGTCAGCCTTTGCTAACTTGAGACACCTATGGCGTCAGAATGGTTTATCCCTGGATCTGGAGGGAAGTGTGTATCAAGCTACAGTACGGGCTGTGAGACTTGACCTATTCGAGCAGCGGAACTGAGACGTCTTCAGGTGTTCAACAATCGTTGTCTCAGAACCATAGTTCGTGTGGGTTGGTGTCGGCGTATTCGTAACGAGGCAGTTAGAAAGCGCGTTTTCGGTTGTGCAATGGATAATTACATTGAAGAATGTGTCCAGCACCAGAATCTGCGTTGGTTGGGACATGTGTAACGTATGCCGAACCATCGTTTGCCGACGAGAGTGCTGTTTTCCATGCCCAACTCAGAGTGGCGTAAACAGAGGGGTGGCCAACCCTTGACTTGGCAGAGGAGTATGAAGGAGATCACGAAACGCTTGGATGCTGTCGGTGCTACTCGCCTTCCAGGTTGGGGACCGCGTAATCCTCACTGTGCCTGACTGGAGACACTACAAGATATGGCTGCCAACCGACGTCAGTGACGTTCTTGTTGTCAGCATCTATCCAGATGGCCTGAGTGAGTGTCTGGAGGTATAGGCACCTCGGAGTTATTGTGGTAAGCTAACACTAAGTCCCTTCCCCGTCCATCTTTACTCTTTTCTTCACAATAAGGCTTTCAAATAAATCATGGTTGTACGGCAGTGAAGCATCGGCGTTGAACACTAATGTCGTGCTGTCGATGATGATGATAATGCAGCCTTTGGTCCGGTTGCATTCTGAATAACTGACGGTGGTTTCCGAAATTTGGAATTTTACTTCTTGCATTCTTCTCTTCTTTACAGATAACCTCGCATGAAAAAGATGTGAACGCCGCGGTTGCTAAGCATGCAAAGATTGCCGCATCAGTCATCACCTGGAAACCTTGAAGATTGGCATTTATTTCTCGGAAGAACAACGGCGATGGCAATTCTTTGTCTACGAATACTGAAAGCGTGCAAAAAACGGATGCACTTCATCAGAGATATTTATATATGAAACAGTACCTATCTGCTAGAATGATGTATAAACAGCGTACATAGAAAAGTAAAATTTAGGTTCTATGCTAAATCCAAAATGCCTTGGGTCATTTCCAACAGTGTATAAATCCAAAAGGTTAAGATTAGCGGTCCATTTCAATTCATTAAACTTTACTCGTGACTGTGGGCCACTAAGTCCGGTGGGCTTACAATGTCAGGTTTATCTGCGCCCTATCATCCTTGTTTCCATAGGATGAGACTGTCCATAGCCAATATTTGATTGTCAGTGGGTCTACAGTTCAGTGTTTTGAGCATTTACCACAGTTGCACAGCCATATGATCACAAGCTGACATTATCATCGGTAGCAAGAAAAGGATAAAAATAGGCTGGTGATGATATTTATATAGTAAGGGGAGGGAATAGGACAGATGAGTCGCTGTTTCGTTGTGTGGAGAATTTTTGAGTTTCCCTATTGGTAAAAGCTATCAGTTAACTGAAATAACACTTCTGTGATCGACGTACCCATGCTTCTCCAAGTTATATCCGGGAAGTTGGTGGCTATGTACCATTCAAGGACTACTGAATACGCATACTGATCCGCTAAGCAGTGACTCGGTTGTCGAAAATTCGCCGTGTTTAAGTACTGAGAGTAAGCCACCCACGTGGAATTGACAATCGAGGCGTGCAAAACCGAAGTGAAACGTTCATTGTGAGTAGCAACCTGATGGGTATAGGACCTAGGCTTAACACCCTCATGGGAGCTACGTGGGGCCTTTGGACGGTCCGAATCCAATACTAGTCGGTTTATATCACACTAAACACTGTCTAGTCCGAACAGCACACGCTGTCCGTCCAGACACTCAGGAGCAACGGCAATAGCACTCGAAGTCAGCATGGCTCTCAAGCATAGGGTCAGAGCTGCACTGCTAGAATGAATGTTATGCGAGCAAAAGGCTCATTTATAATTAACAGGAAATGGGAGGGAAATGTCGCCTGTCTGATATGTGGACAATAAACTGCAAGAGCGGGAGCATTTATTATCGATGACAGTAAAACATCCAGTGTAAACAATTGAAAAACGGTCTCCTGAAGATTCTTTGTATTAGACAATCAACGTCCTTAAAATAACTGAAGACATCTTGGGGAAAACAAGGTATGAGAGGAATTTTGTCACCTGTTGCCGTCAGAGAAGTAGATCTTTGGTAATCGTTCACGCAACCCCAAGACCAAATTTTGTCTGCAGTCGATCTGAAGGGGTGAATATAGTCGAGTTAGTCGCTTTAGTATAGCTGTATCTAATTGACAGAGTACGCTTGCTTTCAAATCTGTTAACTCCATCACATCACACAGAGCCTTTGGGAGTTGAGATTCCCAAGACCATCCAAGTTCGCAGGTCAACATACAAATAAGCTGAGCGTAGTAACCGGATTTACAGCAATTACAATCACATGAAAATCGATTGAACAGTCCTTGTGTCCCGGCGCAGTTATTCGCACAAGTCCGTTTTATAGGAGGGGAGGAAAAGCACTCATACTTCGTCCGTACTAGAGCTCATCATCAGTCTTCACTCTTGCCAGTACAGGACACACATTTAGTATATGAAGCGAGTGCGATGCCACTGTTCAACTAGCGCACCCTGGAGACACCCCATTCGTCCCGCTTAAAAAACGAATGTGTTCACACCTGAGTGATATTATCAGTTTGCACAACGGCGACCCACTAACGGTCCTGGTTATCTGAGTCGATTGACACGCCTGTCAGGAACTCCCAATCAGACAGCCCCACTGTTGCTTGATACAGACAGGACAATGTTTGATCAGTGTGGGAAACCAACAATAACACTCATTTATCAATACGTTCGCCAGCTCATTCGTGATAAATCATTTGCGTGCGAGGGTGGAGTAGACGCGAAGTTCTCACCTCGCATGTTAAATGTTGGCAGTTCAAATCCAGGGGCCACAGCACATGCAAAGTTGACAAGCTCTGGTATGAGCGAAACTTGAGCTCACTGCTATCCTCTTTGGGATGGAATGGTCTGGCAGGGAAAACTGCGCAGACAGTACTTCATTGTTCAAGCGAGGCAAAGTTTATGGAACCCAGATAGCCCATTTCTCCCTCCGCAGTCACAGGAGTGACCTGGATTGTCCGTGCGGTATTCCTCACATGAGCGCCCACATATGGGCAAAAAATCGCACCTCGAAAGTCGAACGATGCGTGCCTCTACAAAATTCCAGTCATTAGCCCAGCCTTCCGCTCATCCAATCCGCACATTACGTGTCTTCACCGCAGTGCACGCGTACGCACCCATGTATGGTGCACACAGTACGGTATGGGGAACAATCAATGTTGTTACACCGTCACTCGTTGACCACGGTGCACCAGTGCAGCTGAGTCAAGCGATCCAAAATGCACCACATTCTGGCTCTTTGTGGGAATGCGACACAAACAGACCACGTGGAGTGGATCAAATGACATGCTGAATTGGCAGCAGATGCGGACAGACAGCTACACCTGACGAAATCAAGCTCACCAAACAATGGTTTTGGTTGGGTTTCACCCACATCCAAGACCCTTACGGCCGACAGTTAACCACCACACTAGCACTGGAAGATAGGAAAACTTTCGTTCGAACTGCAGCGGACAGCGTGACTCAAGTAAACTTATCGATTGTAGTTTCAAGGTTGGCATTTAGTTGGACTGCAGCATATTTTAACAGCAAACTGAGACGTTCCATACAAAGCATGGGAAATATGATGTAATTTCGACAGGAAATTCTGGGCCCTTTCAAAGCACCTCGCTCGCTTCAAACAACCATTGGCAATCGTCGTTCAGCATAGTCGAGACGCAAATTTTTCTATCGAAATTCTACGAATTGTGTTCTTCCACTGAGTAATCAAGATGATCTATATAGTGTAATTTTTCAGACAATGCGAAATTGTGAGGTATCCAGCGCTAGTAATGTTTCCATTATCCAACTCACTGTTTTCAACCTATGTTCAGACCCAGAACACGACCATTTACTGGACACGGGATAATACAGCGACCACTTTTACACCTATCTAGGAAGCACCTGGACAGCTTGTTGATGTTTGTCAGAACGAAGATCATCCTTTCCACTGCAGAAGTCATTGGCATAAGGATCGATCAACCTGAACTTTGTCTTCAAATGCGGTCCGTACAGGTCACTTGGGCTCATGTGGCCTGCCAAATAGGTGATAAGATCGCTTGACTCTCACCCGTGCTAGATTCTAACCCATCACAAGGTAACATTTGCATTTTGAACGTAAGTTTTCTTCTCTTCCAGTGTCGGTGTGGTGGTTAACTGTCGGCCGTGAGGGTCTTGGATGTGGGTGAAACCCAACCAAAACCATTGTTTGGTGAGCTTGATTTCGTCAGGTGTAGCTGTCTGTTCGCATCTGCTGCCAATTCAGCATGTCATTTGATCCACTCCACGTGGTCTGTTTGTGTCGCATTCCCACAAAGAGTCAGAATGTGGTGCATTTTGGATCGCTTGACTCAGCTGCACTGGTACACCGTGGTCAACGAATGACAGGAAGATCGAATTTTCCGTATTTCACACACCCATTTTCCCATGGGTGGAGCAACATCGATCGTTCCCCATACAGTGGTGTGTGCACCATACAAGGGTGCGTACGCGTGCACTGCGGTGAGAACACGCAGTTTACGGGTTGATGAATGGAAGGTTAGGCTATCGGCTCGAACATAAGGTTGACGAGACTCGGGGACTGCGCCCACATGATGAGCCCCAAGAAGGGCGAAATCGATCGTGGGCTGTGGAAGAGTTTTCAGCAACCTTGTGAGTAGTTTCCTTTAGGAAAGTATATCTCAAATATCGTCCCAAATGAAACAAGAGGCGGTCTTTGTGCAGAATGTTCAGTAGAAGAATATCATAAGCGAGAGGTTCAGCTGAGTCTCCTGTGGAAACCAAATTGATATGCAAATGAGACTAACTGTTCAAATCTCTGAATCTTTTGCATGCGAATCGGTAGTTGATGCGAAACAATGAGGACAACGTCAATGACTCAATCGAATCATGACATAGGCAGTCACGCATAGTGATCACACTTAGATGATGTGACTGACTTTACTACTCTTGGGTGGCTAGAAATTTGTTGATTTTCTTTCGATATATTGATATCTAGACCGCTGATCTATTGCAGACTTTGATACCCAATCCTTCAGAATGAATGTAATTACATCAAAGAAGAATTTGGGAGGGAAAATCGCAAGAAGGAATACTAGCTTATTCCCTCTGCATGCCTGCGTGAAAACAGCCGTTCTGGAGTTGACATATCTAGTCCTTTGTTAATCTGCTGTTTCAGCCATTCTCATCTCATTTGATCCGTTTCCTTGCGGTTTGCAAACCGTTTCTTCAACGTCCAGGCAACCTGTCTTCCATTAGATATTGTGAATTAGCCATGCATGGGTACGATACAGCTGACATCAGAATTGACCATAGCGTAACTGTTTTGAGCAACCACCCAGATCGATTTCATCTCATGACAATAAAATACCCAGTGTTGGGGAAACCAGCGTTTGCTGTGAGTTAGGGGAAAGCTGGGACCATCGATATCTTTATGTGTAGTAAAATATGTGAAGAACCATTTAGAAGTTGGAAAAATTTTATTTTTCATCCACGGAACCTGTACCTGTGTGAATAGTTATCATGTTCAACCAATGATACCAACTCATTAGTTCGTAACCTCGTTATCTGATAATATTTCCCTTTAACACCTCGAAATGGAGGACGAATAACTGAACGCACCTGTCTAGGTTACTACACAGAAAGAAATATTTACGAAATTCGGATTCTTCTAGCTTTCCGTCTCACAATCCATTGGCCAGTTTGTTTGGTTTGGATTCACCTCTAGAGGGGACAAGGTAAACAAAAACACATTGTATCGATCCAACAACATGAAGTGACTGACACGGTTCCGATAAAACAGAAATAAACCGATCCCAATGCGGTTATTGTGATCAAGTAGGGCAGCATACCAGAGCAGGAATTCTGCATAGCGTGAGTATTAGTTGTCGCCTGTCACGTGAGTCAATAAATCAAGTGCTTCTCAG